ACTCATAAAACCCTAGTGGACACACGAAAGCTGTTTTTGCCTTGTCAGATTCTTCAACTTCAATCTGATAATAACCAGATTTTAGGTCAAGTACTGAGAACCACTTAGACCCCGTTAAGGCCATGAACGTGTCTTCCAGTTTGGGGAGCGCATACGCGTCCTTGATGGTTTTTTGATTTAATTTCCGGTAGTCTATGCATAGTCGAATGTCGCCACTTTTCTTTCTGACTACAACAATGGGAGACGAGTAAGGAGATTGAGATTCTCGTATGATTCCCACATTAAATAATTCCTGAAGGTGTTTCTTCACGGCTTCGAGATCCTCCGGATGTATGGGCCTCGCCCGATGTTTGAAAGGCGTTTCATCAACAAGATTGATCCGATGCTTGACCTTATCGGTGCACCCAAAATCTTGGGGATGCAAAGAAAATACTTCAGGCATCTCCTGTAACCGCTTTGTAAATCTGGTTTTCCATTCTGGCGGAATGGGTGAATCACCAAAATTTAACTCGAGAACAGATTCTGGAGTGGCCTCTTGTACATTCCCATGGTCTGGCTGTTCAGAGCACACAGACTGGACCGCCTTCAATTCAGCCACCACACATCTAGGAGGAATTGTGATGTCGTGTGTGGTAGGATTTGCAACTACAATGGGCACGTGACAATGTCTGTTGTCTCCAAGTGTGACCATACATGTCTTGACGATCAGACCACAAGGTAAGGGAGAACAAGACGGATGTTCAACAATTGCCCACTTGTCTAAATGTGAACTAGCAACAGAGGCTGCTCCACAGAGAACTGCACTTTGGCTGGCTGGAATCACCTGTGATTGGTTCTCAGATAGCCGCACTAATCCAACATTTCCTTCAACATTCTGCGTCCGGCGCAACTCCAAAATCTTAAGCACTTGCTTGTATCCATAAGTGGGAGAAAAGTATCGAGTCTCTTGCTGTGAAAAGTTCTTATACAGGTTGTCCAGAGTGTTCGTGCCAATCAACACTGAAGGCTGAGAAGTGGAGGGAAGATCAGGGACAATCAGGGCTAAAGTAAATACCTCTGTGTCAACTCCCACAAAGTCCTTTGGGAAAGTGATGGTCAGCTCAACGTAACCGAGGTAAGGAACATTTTGGCCATTCGCTCCCTCAATTTCCAAAAGATCATTTAAGGAATGAATTGACTGATTGTACAAATTATCATTGTAGAAGGATTTTGTGATGGTAGTGACCTGTGAACCCGTGTCAAGTAAGCAATTACACATCACACCTGCAACATTTACTTGTGCAGTGCATTTTGCTCCAATTAACCCCTTGGGTAAAACAGGTTGTCGTGGTTTTACTTGTGCTTGGGCTGACAGCGCCCTAAAAGACTTGGGACAACTTGACTCAATCCCAGTTCCCATTCGTCCCGCAACGGAAACTGCAGTCAGTTTAACTGAGGTTTAGCACTGCCATTCCGTAAGTCCCATTCACGCTGTCTCTTTGCAAGTTCATTCCGCTTCTCTGACACCAAGGCTGGATTTGGGTCATTGGAACAAGAACTGACAATGTGCCCATCCTCTCCACACCTAAAGCAATAGCCTGGCTTTGGTCTAACTGTCTGGGACGTGTCTGGAACTTTAGTTCTTCCTTTAGGACTGATGGCACTCTGCTTACTTGAGGACTTAACCATGTTCGACTTGGGGTTTGGTTTGTCTTTAGACTGCTTCGAAGTTAATAATGCAAGCTGATTTTGGAGTTCTGCTATCTGACTTGCCAACTGAGCAGTAACAGAATTAAATTGAGTCACATCATCTCTAGTGGTTGTTTGAGACTGCATCACGGCACGCTGCTTAACATTTCCCAGGTGTTGTTTCATTCGCACACTTTTGGAAGCATGCTTGCTCTCCTCAGTTCGTAATAAAGTCATTAGCTCTGCAAAGGATGGGGGTGAATGTTTTTTCTGCTCTAGTTGCAACTCTAGAATTAAGGAATTTTCCCAACATCCTCTGCAAAACTGCTTAAGTAGATGCTTGTCAACCTCTGAGCCAAGGACTCCACCACGGCGCATAGTGGTCTGTAACGCAACATGCAATCGTTGCAAGTAAGCGGATGGGTTTTCTCCTGGGTTCTGGAATATATTCAGGAACTTGGCGAATAACTCATCACCATCCTCAATGGGCGCAAAAGCAGAATCAAGAAGCTGAATGTAAGTTGAAGGTGATGCTGACGGGCCAACAGATTTTACTATGTCTGCTGCCGGGGAAAGAAGGCTCTCACAGATTCTGCGCACTCTGTGGAAATCGGAGACTGTTGGATCTTGGAAAAGTAGTTCAGCGCTAGTGCGCCAAGTTTCATAATCAACCTCGTTGGACGGATGGGGAGTTCGCCCAGAGAAAACACGGAGTCGTAACGGTGAGTTTCCAGGTATGGCTAAGTCACTGGTGCGTACAAGATGCTCCACTACAACTTTCTGCACACTAGGTGGGTTTAAATCACTGACGGTGATCGATGGGGATTCTGGGCTTGTGGCTGACACTTGTGGAACAGAGTGATGTCGTGCAACATTTATTGGTGTCTGAGACGGCTTAAAAGAGAACTCAGTCAAGGATGGTTCTGCTGAATGAGCAGGTAAGGTATCACCATCAGAAGGAACAGGCACAGGACATGGGTTTGGCACCACGCTCTCTTGGATATGAGCCAACATGCCCTTCAAGACATCCTCAAAATTCTCTCCACTGCGACTTGCCAGCTCTTTCAGCTCATTGAGGTAAGTTTGGGTTGTGTTTCGTCCCAGCCTCTCAACATAGACATTTGATAAAGCTGTCACATGGAAAGAGACATCAGGATTATTCTTTGCTTGCTGAGTATATGGTAGCATTGGCTGGAGGTTTTGCACTGCTAGCCCAGAGTTGAACTCTACTATCACAGACCTCTTTGACTCTAAGCTGGGATCACTTATTGGGATGATTCGGTTAATTGACCCGTACTGTTTTACAAAGTCCAATATTTCCTCATCTACTTCAGTCTCAGTTAGGCCACTAATTAGGACTGCATTTGGGACTTTTACACCCTTTTCCTCTATAACCTCCATCTCTTTGAGCTTTTTTTTTCAGTTTGGTTGATTTCTACACTTATGTCTATGTCTTTAGTTAATTTTTTCAAGGGGAACTCTAGAATTGAAAGTATTGGTTAATGTGTGTGTTTCTCTTTGTCTCCTGGCTGGCTCGCCATAAATATATGTAACACCTGCTTTGCAAAATTGGTAATAAACCAGATCACTGGGCCGATCAGAAGACACAGGAGTCGAAGGAGACAAAGGTACACACACATAAACTTTTCCAAGCACACCTTTATGTAATTAGGAAAAGTAAATGATGAATGGAATTTGGTAAACAAACAAACAATAAAACAACTGAATAAGGGTTTGACTTTGAATATAAATTCTCCTTAGAGAAAGCAAGTAAACACAATTCAATTTCGTATTAAATTCAATTACCAATTAAAACAATTCCCCAAAGTAAATCCAACCGTATCAACCAAAGATGAGTAGGCTATCCAAATTTAACCCTTCAATTTCCCTTCTCTTTTAGTTAATTTGGGTTTAGTTCTGAGTTTGCTTATTATTTAAAATTTTCCTCACTGGCTTTTGACTCAATTTAGTTCACCTAATTGACTAGTATCTTTAATTATATTCTTAGGTTTTGAATATACACCTTTAGTTTTGTTAGAAATTTTCCTTTTTTCAACCAAAATATCAATTACAGTTCACCAACGAAATGTAAATTAACCCAATGAATGTACAAAACCTTTCTTCACCACATTAATAATGAAAGAAAAAGAAAAGAAAAATATTCAGAACAGGTAAATATCTTATCAGATCAAATAATTACTTTCAGTTCACAGATTTTAGTTCAAACAATAACAAAAAATAACGTCTCGCTTTCCTTCTTGCTCTTAGAACTGTCCCAGTCCAAAGAGAACCAAATACCTCAATCCTTTAGTTCAACAGAGAACAAAATCCTCCAGATGAAGGAACTGTGGGAACGACGCGAATCCAAAAGGAAAGTGAGAAGCAGATCCAAGTTCGGTTTGTTTACGGGTGGCTCGCCATCTTCTTCCTTAACTCGTCATGCAACTCGATGCATCCGCACCAAAGAACGAAGTCCACAGTATAGAACAAATACATGCAAAAACTGGCCTGCACACAACAGGGCAATATCCTTAGTGATTTCACTTTACATTAGCATCATTTAGCACATTTCTAAACAACAATATACATTGTAATCACACTCCACACATAGTGAAAAATACAGTTTCTTTTCTGTTTAGACTCACATTAGTATTGTACATGAACACAGTTAACCACATTAATCAGAATAAACATTTAACTCACCGATTCCTCTATTAATTAACTGTTCTTGAATGTGCTTATCTTCCAGGTTTCATCGAATAAACCACGATGAGCTGCTTCATTAGCGTTAGCTTAATCTCCAACATCAGCTTCAACCGGACTACACGCACGGTAAGTATCCAAACAAAGTTTCTCAATCGATGTAATTATAACATAAACTTATTCTCAAATGAAAACTTTAAGACTTCTTGTAAATATTTCACAATTAATCTTCTAAAACACTTTCTCCTCTCTGTGTTCTATTTCTGTCTCTTTTCTCTAGATCTGCGACTCTGTATTCCGATCTGCGTTGCTCACAGGAGGCGGAGTTAAAGCTGCGGCCTATTTCCCTGATTGGAGGCCTACCGTCTGCAGTGCTATTCCCAATTCTCATTGGTTGAGATTTGCTGCAATAATTTAAATATCACTATATGAATAATAAAATGTATAATTTAAATATTATAATAAACTATTACACTGTCATGAAGTTTTATTCTATTTACTGTTCAGTCACATACACATTTAGTTAAATATGTAATTATAATGATTTAATGGTTAAATATTTTGGACAAATTAACTTGAGCAAAGACTGCAAATATGCTAATTTGAGTCTGGGTTACACTTGGGTATGAACATTTCCTGCCAGAGCAGTCCACATCTGCTGAAGAGGTATCGCTGCAGATAGGAGTCAAATGGATTACTGTTATTCAAGGGCCTCAGACTGTAATTCAGAGCTACATGGAGACATCATCTAGGTGTCCATGTATGATTTTATTTGTTCTGCAGCGTGACCATGTTTCACAGAAGGATATGGAAACGTTTGCACATTTTCAGCAAGAATTTGGAAAGAAAATGGAGGAAAATACTGTTGTAGTTCTGGTCAGTAGCGAAGATGAGACATCAGTAAGGCCAAACAAAGAATCAGATGAGAACCTGGATAGCATTATCTATCAATGTGGAAGTAAAGTGTGTGGTTTTAACAAAAATCTGGAGCAATGTGACTTAATCGAACTACTGATTACATGTCGCAAAAGTGTGCCTGAGCTCCAAGTATACAAGCATGAAAGGTATGACAAAACATATGAGTTTATCCAGATGATTGTACCCATTCCAGAGAGATCATATCCCTTGATCCATATTCTATTTAACTGCAGATCATCACACAGGACCACATCTGTGGAAAGGGAGATCCGGAATCCACAGGAAGCAATGACACGAGAGCATATACCAGGTAACAACCATTAAAATCTAAATTATCAAAGAATATAATAACAAAAACGTAATCTGCATTCCCACATGTGAAAGAAACTAAGAAAGACACTAAGAAATTATTTTTTAGACTTTGATAGAGGAGAATCTTTCATGTAAAGAGTGGAGATGGTCAATTGCTGATTTGTTTGATACTTACAAGTCTTTCTTGCGATTTCAATTACCTTGGTGACATATTTAAAGGGATAGTTCACCCAAAAATGAAAATCCTGTCAGCATTTACTCACACTCAAGTTGTTTCAGACCTGTATGAATTTCTTTCTTCTGCTGAACAGAAAAGATATTTTGTAGAATGTCGGTAACCAAACAGTTGAACTATCCCTTTAAATTGGTTCAATGCTGTCGGAACAGAAAGGATGCAGTTTATGAAATTGAAATAAAATTATTTTATTTTTAATTTCTATTGTTACATGCAGCATATTAATTATATTATATCATATTTAAGGAGGCAGCCAAGTTGCCATCAAGAAGAAAAACACCTTGACCATTGTGCTGCTGGGACAGACCGGAAGTGGAAAGAGCGCTACCGGAAACACCATCCTGAGAAATCGTCATTTTGAATCATTTGCCAGTTCTGTGCCAGTAACACATGTGTGCCAGATGGCAGGGGAAACTGTTTGTGGAATCAAGATCAGGGTCATAGACACCCCAGATTTCTTTGATGAAGACCTAAAAAAACAGGAAAAGCAGATAGAGAAATGCAAAGAACTCGGGCAGCCAGGGCCTGACGTGTATTTGCTGGTCATGGAACTTGGCCGTTACACAGATGGCGAGAGAGCAATAGTTCCGAACATACAGAGAGCGTTTGGTGCGGACGTGGTAAAAGAAACCATTGTTCTGTTCACAAGCAAGGAGAAATTAAGAGGGAAAACTGTATCAGAGTACATTAAAAACACTAACACCCAACTTCAAGAGATGATCTCAACCTGTGGGTCAAGGTGTCATGCATTTAACAATAATGACCACAATGTTTCTCAGGTCGAGAGACTATTAGAGATGATTTTAGAGATGAAGAGGAAAAATGGAAATACAGACATTTTAGAACACTACTCATATTCCAAAGAACCAGAGAAAAAGGACTGCAGAATCCAGTAGACACTGGCAAATGATTCATGTGATAGGTGTATAAAACTGATTCGTTGACTTTTATTCTGTGCAAGTAGTTTGATTTGAAAACATGTTTAGTTCATTTTTGCTACAATCAAATGAATATACATCATTGTTATGTTGCATGTCAATACTTTACATGTACAAATAAAGATATTTTATTTAAAAATCTCATCCATGCACTACATTTTAATTTATCAGGTATAAACAAATAAACAACAAACAGTAAAATAGACAGACTAAACTATTTGGACTGTGAACCCTAATCAGATGGCATATTAAAAAAATCGTTTGCACCCTTTTTGGTAACACTTTATTTTAAGGTGCTTGTAATAAGCAGTAATTAACAGTTAATAAGACACTTATAAGACCGTATAAGATGCATATAAGATGCATATAAGCATTAACTAATGATAATAAATAAATTAAATTAAATAATACATTTCTCAAGTATCAATACATTGCACTTTTAGAACAGCCGAACAAACATAAATGGTAACACAAACTCCCAGGCCCTTAAAAATTGACCTTCCCAAGAGGGAGTAGTTTCCCTGATCTCTTCAGGGCATCTTATTTGCATCTTATAAGGTCTTATAAGTGTCTTATAAGGTCTTATAAGTGTCTTATTAACTGTTAATTACTGCTTATTACAAGCACCTTAAAATAAAGTGTTACCCCATTTTTATGTGCTGCTAGTCAGAGGTAAAAATTTCAGAGAATGTGGTCCTTACAAGTCATACTCTTTGGGATGTTTAAAAAATGCTCCAAAGTGTTTCCTTTTACAAAGACGATAAGAGAATGCAAACTATTGTGGCATTGGTTATCTCTGTCTATATCTAACAATCCTTCTGAAAAACATTTTTCATAGTTACTTCCTTATAAGAAACATTCTGAAGAATTTCTTCCTTGTGAGAAACATTCTGCATCGTATCTGATCAGCACAGATGGCAAACAGATAGTGTTCCCTGATTGTTGGTAAACTCAGTATGGTTGTAGTTAACATTATTTGAACACTGCATCCCCAGTGTTAAATTAACACTGCTCAGTGTACATATGTGTGCACACTATGTTAAAATAACACTGAAGCAGTGTCAAAGTTAATGAGATAATTAAAGATAATCAATCATTTTATCCCCTTAAATTCATCTTTGATCTCTAAAATTACGTTTAAACGTTTATTCCTATGAATTTATTTTTTTCATGCCTTAAAATAGCTTGAATGTAACTACACCCTTGCTTCATTTAGTATACGTGAAATCATGAATATCCACTCACTCACTCACACCAGATCAAAGATCTGTCAACTTTACTGTAGTAAACGCTGCACAATGGCAAGTGGAAATACTGATTTAATACAGACATATATGTTTGAACCAGAAAATGATTCAGAAGAAGAAGAAGAGGAAGAGCACATTATACAGGATATCAGAATGGTAATGCATTTTATGTATCACTCTCTACAATGTCAGACACATACCGGTAATTAATATGATTAGCCTTTTGTTTGACTATGTTATAAAACAGCTAATTGTGTGTTCCTAATGTTACACAAACCATGTTCCCATTCGTCATCTCATGGTGTGTTTGACAACAACGTACTGAAAACAGACGACAACGTTGTCAAAATGATCCCCATTCACACGGATCTGAGAAATTGACTAAAAAGGCTGTATTATGCATGCCAGGCTAGTAGTTGGTGAAGTCACTTTGTCAAGAAACACCCCGCGAACACGTAATACGCATGTGTGAACATGTAATATGCATGCGCATGACGTCACAGTTTTCACAAATTCACGTTTTTGTTGTTTACATGGAGAAGATAAAGGCATCATTTTCAAAACCTTGCACTTCGAAACACGTTTGCCCCCAAAACGCTGTTGTCGTGTAAATGATCGGCCAAAATAAATAAAAGGTCTTCCATTTTCTGTTGAAAACGGTGTCGTTAAAACATGCCCTCAGAGTCAGACCTTCTAGAAATCAGCATCAACAAAAGAAACAAAGAAAAACAATATTAGATCAGTCACTTAACTTAATGAAAAACTGAAATTTAAACCAACAAAATAAATTACATTACATTCAGTGCATATGAAAACAAACAAACAAACAAATAACTTAAATAATAACGTTTACAATTCAAAATACAAACAAAGACAAAGCCAAAGACACAAAAAGAACAAATACTACAACAAACAAGGCCTACAATCACCCGATGTATTAAATTATTAAATGTATTAAAACACTAGAGGAACAGAACGGCCAACGAACGGCCACGCTTTAAGCTGGTGCATCTTACCCCACGGCGAGCAATAATCTGGGCCCGAAATTACAATCACACACAAAGTTAATTAATGAAAACTAAATGCAAAATTGACTGAAATGAGACCCAGGCAAGGCAGCAGTGCGTTACATCACTAGACGTGCGTTACATCACTAGACGTGCGTTACATCACTAGACGTGCGTTACATCACTAGACGTGCGTTCCACCCCATAACACGGCGATGAAACTCTTGGTCAGGCAATCAACCTGTCGAACATGAAACAGCAGAATTAAAAACAATCATAAAACCACTAAAAACAGGCGAACGACTCTCGTACATATACCAGGAGATGTTCTCAGCGCAATACTATGCGTGGTCGCTGACCATAGTTCGTCAACAAAACATAAAAACTCAATAAGAAAACATTCCATTGAAGAGAAGCCTCCTTAAAACAGACGTTCCAACCTGAACCCCGGGGCAGCCTGCACACCCCACTACTGATAGGGTCACCATTTTCACATGACACTGCCAATGAACAAATGAGGGTACACTTTCAACCTGCTACACTTAAAGGGCTAGTTCACACAAAAATGAAAATTATGTCATCAATGACTCACCCTCATGTCGTCCCAAGCCCGTAAGACCTCCGTTCATTTTCGGAACACAGTTTAAGATATTTTAGATTTAGTCCGAGAGTTTTCTGTCCCTCCTTTGAAAATGTATGTACGATATACTGTCCTTGTCCAGAAAGGAAATAAAGACATCATCAAAGTAGTCCATGTGACATCAGTGGGTTAGTTAGAATGTTTTGAAGCATCGAAAATACATTTTGGTCCAAAAATAACAAAAACTACGACTTTATTCAGCATTGTATTGTCTTCCGGTTCTGTTGTGGATCCGCGTTCAGTGACGCTGCTGACGTAAGACACTGCTGACGTGTATCTGGTGCGTCCGTATTTTCCAGGCTCTTTTAGCTGTATAATAAAACAGAAAACATATTAAAATTTCACACACATTTTTTTGGTTGTTTTATTGAGGTCACTATAACATGTTATAATGTGAATTTATAATGTTCATTATAATTTTACATATTCAATATTATATTTAAAAAAGTCCCTCTGTTTTAGGGCTCTAACCTAACATAACCATATCTGTAGTATTGCGAGAACCACTAGTAGTTCACATGACATGTGATATAATTCTCATGAGAACTAATAATTCTTTCCCATGCCATGGGGAGTGGAAAACATCATTTTTGCGAGATTGACCCCACACATAACTCGTGTTACTATCCTTGATAAAATAAATAGTTTTTCTTTCCAAATGTTATAGATTACAAAAATCTATACTTAGAAATATTATAAAACAAATAAAACACCAAATATATTTATACTATTTATATTTTTATAATTTTAGGTCAATCAGTAAGATTTTATGGTAATTTGTAAATTTGTCCATAGTCGTGCAATGGGTATTCCGGATGTATAAGGGGTGGGGAGGGGGGTGGTGGGTGGATGTTAACTTAAAAGGTTACTTAAGTAGTCAACAAATACATAAATTACCTGAGACAAACCTTTGTAAAAAAAAAAAAAAAATCATATTGTGGAGGTTTAAATTACTGGGGTCAAATTGACCCCAGTGGGTAATAAATGTTATCAGATTTGGGGGTAACAGTAAACATCTTAGAACATCAATGGAGAAAGGCATATTTCATCATAACATTGTGATATACATCATAGCCTTTACATAATTCAACTGCTATTTTGCTAAATGTACCTGATTTTTTCATATCAACAGAAAAATATACCGGGATAACCTGGCCTCTCTTGAGACTCCCTTGCTTCGCAGCATATGATATGCTAAAGCCCGCAGGCACGATGACGTGATTGGTTACAAAGTATTTTGTGACGTAAGAAGAAGCTATTTCAAACCTTGTTTTTTTTCCACTACAGTTTTAAGGAAACAATACTCAGCAATGGTGTTGACTTATGAATTTGCACATGGTTTGTATTAAAGCACATTCAAAAAGACATATAATCAACATTAAAAACCACAGGGGGACTTTAAGACGTAAAGAATCAGGGAAAAGAGAAACAAACAAGAACAAAAAAAAGAGAAGAGATGAGCAGAAATGCTAGAACTACAAATGACTTCCAGCCACAGCCTTAGATGAAATCAACTGAAGATAAAAGACATTAAAACCTCTCGAGATCTCAGCAGAGGATGATTAAATAACTCCACAAACGGCGTTACCAGCTACATTACAAACCAGTTTGACTTTAAATTTTGTCATACGTCTACAGAAGAAGTTCTTATTGAGAATTAACAGAGGTTTGGATGTTGATCTTTTATTCAAAATATAGTTTGAGTAATTTAACACTGGGGATTTTGCTGTGAAGGAACTTTTTTATTTCCTGTTGTGTTCTAGAACATAGTTTAGTCATGTCTCAAACTAGAAATGTAAGACCATATAGCGTGCTTTAAAAATTCCCATGTCAAGTTGCTTTGTAAGGTCTTCTTTTTAAAGAAGCTAACAGGGAATTCTGGGAACTCAAAAAATAAAATGCATTCCTGTGGCTTAGTTAACTATAGTATAGTTAACTATATAAGGTGAATGCATGAACTAATTTTTTTTTTATCTTGAATAAAAAAAAACATCTTCAATGTAAATTAAACTGCTTTGGATAAAAATGGTTTTGCCAAATGCCTAGATTTAAAAATGCTTATTTTCTGCCCAGTAAAAAGGCATATAATCCATAAATATTATTGTTTTAATCTTTTAAGTCGTCAAGTCACCTTTATTTATATAGCGCTTTTTACAATACAGATTGTATCAAAACAGCTTCACAGTGATAACATGAACATAATACAACAAAGTTTGTTTCTAGAAGAAAATTGCGTCATCGTCCACCTTAAGTAAGGCAGATCAATAATAATAATTGTTGAATATTAAATGTCCCCAACTAAGCAAGCCAAAAGCCAAGGCAACAGTGGCAAGGAACCAAAACTCCATCAGGTGACAGAATGGAGAAAAAAAACCTTGGGAGAACCCAGACTCAGTCGGAGGGCCAGTTCGAAGGAACAGTGTATGATTCGGGCAGCATTACAAGTCAGATTGGATCGGAACATTTAGAGTATTTATCCATTTCCTTCTGGTTGGAAGTCGAAGTAATCACGCCGGTATGGAGACGAGCTGTTGAGGATCAGTGTCGAAGGCTGTCGTGTCGATGAGGCCTTCACAGGGCTGATGAGGCTGGCACTTCCCTTTTAACTGTCAATCCCTTTTTGTGATCTGAACTTAAATGATTGTAATATATAAATGCTTTGCAATGTAGACCTATTTGGTCCCTTTTTAAAGAAGACACTGCTTAAAAAAAAAAGTCAATAATTTAAATCAGCTTATATATACATATTCGCCTGAGGCTGTATTCCGGTGCATATGTGTGTGTGTTTCTCTCCCTCCGTTGTTTCCGCTGTCTCTCCCTTTATATATACACAAGTACATGCATATACAGTATTAAAAAAATTGCTTTGCACTGTTAGACACACGGTCATTTTTCTTTGTGAAATGAAAAAATAAATAGTGTATTAATGGGTCCTAATTAGGGGTGTAACAATATATTATGTCACAAAATATCGCAATACAAAAATGCAACAATAAGTATCGGATAGTGACAATATGTATTGTGTATAGTTCACCCAAAATGAAAATTACTGTGAGAAAAAATTCAAGTTTGTGTCAGTACTAGATTAATGTTGAATATAATGTATAATTCTGCAATGGGGGAATATTTGTGGGTCCTGATAGTGCCAAATGTCTTATGTTGCCAGTAAAAAGTGGCCTACATTATTTTAAATATATCTAGTCATTGACAGAGTGCAAGCATATTTGTCTAAAATAATTCTGTATTTTAAGCTTCAGAATCATTCAGGTGTCAATATTGTCCTCCTGTGCATTGGGTTACCAACACCAAGTCCATATTTATTTCCACCCCGAATGTAATACCAAATTTTGCATTTTAATCAACAGTAAAACATTTTTTAAACTTTTACCACATGTCTTGGAGTATCGCAATAATATCGTATCGTGATATATATAGAATCGTGACTTGAGGGTATCGTTACACCCCTAATACATCACAACTATACATTCAAAACACATGCAGACCTCTTGTTTTCACAGTATAACCATTTTACTTGTGTTTAACAATTTTACATTTATTTACACAGTATAACTGATTCTTAACAGATGTTAAATGTTAGATAATGGTAACAAAACAAATGCTAAATTATGTGGAAAGTTTCCAATGTGTCTTAAAAATATATCATGCAGATTATATGTCACCGATTATTATTCATAGATTACTATAAATAAATGTAAGCTTTAAGAAGAAAGAATGGTGAAGACAGGGATACATTTATGTCTACAGTTATAAAGTAGACAGTTTTTTTTTTGTCTGCCTTCACAGTGCCTTCACGAAGAAGTTCGCTTCCATAACATATTCATTCTGCAATGTGCTGCAGTCAAATTATATCTTAAAATTGAAATAAGAATTTATTTTACCACAACAGGAGATTTTTTTTAAATAAAATCAATGTTAAAATGAAAATGCACAATAAATGTCACCGTGGAGGTCTTAACAACATTTGATAAAAGAATAGGATCAGGTTAAAAACTAATTCTCTCATCAAGGATCTCAAGAAAACTACCATTTTTGGCCACCTCTCTATTGAATGACATGTATACACTGTATAAAATCAAATGAGTAAGGTGTCATAAAACTACCGCTGAACATAAACACAAGATGTGTCTGATTGAGTCTCTTTAGTAACTGCAAGAGCCACTATCAATAGCAAACTGTTCGTGAAAGCCTTCTATCAATATTTGCTGGAACAAAACGACTCTGTGGTCAAGAGCCCCAAGAAAGCTAAACTGATATTCCAGAAGCTCTGCGGCCGCTCTCTCCATGTTCTGTTGTTGAATTTTTTCTTCCGCTTCTTGAAACATCTCCTGAGTGAAGTATTCTCCCCCATTTGCTGACACCATTTCATCAATTTTCTGCATTAAGTTATTCACTTGCTTTCGCTTCATTGTGTTAGTGTTATCAAACACAGTATATCTACTACCACACCTCTGGATCACTTTACGGAGTTCTGGATGGCCTTTTGTTACATAGTCGTCTATAGTTTGACCATTGAGTGAATCTCCATGAGTGAAGACCACTACCATGTATTTTGAAGCTTCTTCTCCGAAGAGCTCTTGCAGGGCTTGGACAGATTTTTGCTCCTCAGCAGTGAAACGGCCAATTTGTATCACCAGCAGAAACACATGAGGACCTGGTGCTGAAATCTGAATACATCTTACTATTTCTCTTTTGATGAGGTCTTTCGGTTGGCTGGTATCCAAGATTCCAGGTGTGTCAATCACAGAAATTTCTCTAGGGTCATAGACCATTGCTTTTTGGCACAAGGTCGTGACAGAGTTTGCAGAAGGGCTTGACTCAAAAACCTTTCTACCAAGGATGGTGTTCCCCACAGCACTTTTTCCCACTCCGGTTTTTCCAATCATTACTATGCGACGTGGTCCTCCTATTAACACAGCAAAATGAAGGACAAAAAAATACAGTGTATAAAATCAACTGATAGAGGCAGGGGAGGACTGTGACATAGAGTGTTTTATTTGAAGCCTGGCCCTAATGTAGCATATTAAGGGACGTATTTGCTTTATGAATCAAATCTATTAAAATCATTTTGATCTGCATCAAAAATTATGTCAAAACAATTTAATGTAACATGACACCTATCTGACCAAAAACTTTGGTTTAAGTTAACTTCCTATTGTATTTTTGTTTATTTTGTTTTTCTTTAAGCTTTTACTAAATGTATAGTCATACAATAAACAACTCTGTTTGCTTTTACAGACTTGACAATAGCCATTCAAACTTTTTGAACATGATAAAATGTTTCAGCAGTTGTGAGCTTTCACCAGTTGAATAGAAATCTTACTAAACAACCAAAAGTCAAAAGTTTTAACAGAAAACTTACTTCGCTCAGGAGAATTGTGGCGACGGCACAGACACAGACACTTTTTACAGTCCATTTCCTTCAGCAACAGTTTCTCTCGACAACGACTGGAACAATTTTTTGCGACACTGTATTAGTAGCAGATTTCCTTGTGACGCCACTTGTTTATTTTTTGCAAATGTACAAAGTTAGCTTTTACTTTCATTTGATCATTTTCCTGCTTCACCACATGACAGAAATAGTTGGAGGTGTTTCTCGCAACCTGGTGAACAGACTAGAAATTCAACATGCCAAAAAGTAAGACGTAGTGGTTAGTGTGGGTTTTTGATCGACTTTTAAAAAATTATCACTTTGCTAATTTCTGTACATTCTTTGGTCTGATAGTTTCTATATTTTTACTTTGTACCTGAAATTATATTGCATTTAATTGTGAGAAAATTGGTTTAATAATTTATAGGAGAAAAATCTGAATATCACGAATTCCACAAAAATATTAAGCAGCACAATTGTTCTCAACATGAGAGGAAATGTTTTTGAGCACCAAATCGGTATATTAAAATGATTTCTGAAGTATCATGTGACATTGAAGACTGGAGTAATGATGCTGAAAATTCAGCTTTGCATCACAGGAATAGATTACATTTTAAAATATATATATTAAAAATATTTACTATTAATTCAAATATTTACTGTCTCATAGGGGAGAGCGTGAATGTCCAGCCATTTGGAGGTGACTGCTGCATGATCACCATGGTGCTAACAGGGAACAGTGTCCTCCAGCATGACGGTTTCATGCCTGGAAGAGACACGTGTGAGAGGGTTGTGGGTAGAGTAGCTGATCAGATTGTCTGTATTGCCAACACTCCAGACCTTTTCCATAAACCAAGCCCAGATCCAAAAGCTGACAGTATAAAGGAGATGAAACCATCATACTCAGGTCCATGCATGTTCCTCATGATACTGCAAGACAAAACTATCACAGGAAGAGAAGAGATAGAGATAGATATCTTCCCCCAATTAAAGTAGAGATTTAGAAAGTGAATAAAATAACTCAATAGAGACCAATTAAACTGATGAGAACAGCAAAAAGATTCTAGATGAGGGTTTATGTTTTCATGAGCGATATGAAAAGCCCTGAGCTGGTTCAACAGCAGTAGAAATCAGCTTAGTCCACTTAGTATCTCCTGTGTAACGGACTTGGTGTAAGATATTGCTAAATACAGCAAAGACAAGTTATAATCCCATAGTGTAATGTCTAGAGTAACCAAAAGATGGCGCAATAAACCTATGCAAAACAACTGCCTACAGGTCCTTCATTCTCACTATCATCATAACAATCTAAAATGAATCACTGTTCCTCTTTTTTTTTATTGACAAGAATTAACATACAAAACTCTCGTAGGGGAAAGAGAATATACAAATGTCGTCAATATATGAATCACTGTTCTAACACATTCATTGAGTTTCAGGAAACATAGCCTACTGTAAGAAAAGTAGACAGAAGCTGAGTTTGGTAAAGTTGTTTTTTTCCATAAAATTACCAAAGGCTATTTCCAGTTCCTCCACCCACCGCAGAACCTAAATTCATTTCTATGTTGATACTTGAACAACATTCCAATCAACCAATCAGATTTGAGGGACAAGTTTAAAGTTCATGTCAAGTTTATGCTTACAATAAGAGTTTGGTGCTTCTATTAGTGTTATTCACCTATCATTCCCCTCTGATTTTAGGGATAACTTATAGTTAGGTTTAGGGAAATGGTTATGATTACATTTTTTGGACAGGAATGTTGTTCCAGGAACAACTAAATATGTTGACGCCTAACTCTGCAGGACGTGCCCATTCTCCCACCATTGCTTAGATATTTTACCTCTAGTAGTAAAAGTTTTCTTTAGAAAGTCTCACTCTGTAGAAAATGATAATCAAAGCCTGACCTTTTAGATTACTACATTAAGACAAACATTTTCACAAAAAAACTGCAGTAGAGAACCAAAAGATAAGCGCAGCTGTTATCTAGCATAGTGACTCGACGTGTTATTCCAGATTTTTGACAAGCCCTTTATTCTCATGCATTTAAGACAAGTACATTTTTGCTTTCATTTATTCATAACTGTCCTTTGTGCTAGAGACACGTTTAATGATTCTTACTCTGCTCATTATTTGTTTCTGTTAACGTGGAATAACTCAACATGTTTCAATGTAAGTAAGCGGCTTGTTTTTTTAAATACATTTTAGTCTATTTTTGTAAAATTGTAGTGATTTGACTTGATGGTTGCTCATATTAATGGCATTAATTTGATACTCAAGCTTAACTCTAGGATTAAAGAATCCTTCTCAAATATTTATAAACAAGCAATGTATATTATGTCATCAAGGGTTATGATTTAGGAATTAAGTAAATTCCTAATCTAAAACTCAGTTTAAAAACTGAATTATTCTTGTTATTTGTTATAGTGGAGTATACAAAGGTGGCGCAATCTGACGGAGGCGACAAGATCGCAATGGTGCTGCTGGGAAAGAACAGCAACGATAAGTCTATGATAGGGAACATCATACTAAAGGCAGAGCGTTTCATAGCTGGAAAAGAGACATGCACAAGAGCTGAAGAAAAACTAGGTGATCAGATGGTCTGTATCATCAACACTCCAGACCTTTTCCACAGGCCAAACCAAGATCCAGAAACTGACAGTATAGAAGAGATAAACCCCCAATATCCAGGTCCACGTGCGTTCCTTCTGGTACTGCATGACAAACAGCTCTCACAGGAAGAGATTGATATGGTCAGCCAGCTTAAAAAGAGATTTGGAGAGAAAATGGTGGAAAATACAATTGTTGTGATAGTTAACAGTCAAGAAAAGCAATCTGGACAGCCATATGACCAAGCCGATGAGAGTCTCAAAAAACTACTAGATGAGTTTGGACAGAGAATTTGTGTTCACAACAAGAACGAAGACAAGAATGAGTTGACCAAACAGGTTATGGAAAAATGGAAGGCAGTGCACAAGAAGCAGGCTATTGAAACAAACAAATCCACACCTGCTGATGAGCCGTAAGACATATGAAGTATCAAAAAATAAAATAAAAACCTCTGTACATACCTATAAATTCCTTTACGCCTATAATTTGACCTGTAACATCATCTAAATCCTGCAGGTTATATGAAGATATGGATCATTATGAACCAATGAAGGAAATACCTGAAGTGTCAAGTGTGCCTGAAGACAGCAAAAGTATTGCTTACAGATTTCTTATTCAACTTACTTTTCTCTGTCATCCAAAAGAATATGATAAAATCAACATGCTGTTTTTTCTCACCTGACTTTACGTCAATCTAAAGTAGTCAAATAAGTTCAACACACTTTTTTTATGCAAAGCACTGTTTTGGATGCCATTTTCTTTCACAATGGGATTTGAAATGTTTGCACATTCGATTTTGTCGAGTGAGACGCGTTTCTGGGTCAATACATTTTGTTGTCAGCTTCCGGTCTGAAAATGTTGTCCAAGCCCCTAAACCTAACACTAGTTGTAAGCCTAAACCTGACATAAACTGTAAACTTGTTCATCAAATCTCATTGGTTGATTGGAATGTTGTTCCAGGATCAACAAAAACATTGATCCAGGAATATATGTTGCACTTGGTGAAATCTGTTTGTGCAATGTTGCACGCGATTTCTGCGGGATCTGTCTGTTATCATAGGTTGCAGTTCACTACAATTCACTAACAGACGGCAACAGACACTTCGTCAGGCTTTGTCACCCCTATCTGTGTCTGTTGCCGTCTGTCGAAGCTTGTTTTCACCGATTGAACATGCTGAATCGGCGTTGCGTTAGAATGTCTTAAAAGTGATATGCTGTAATCTGGTGACTGACAGCATTGGTCTGCATCGGTGTAGTGTGAATTGGCCTTAAAAGTACAAGATCATGATGAAACGTGTCTGTTAAAACAGTGGTTTTCAACTGGTCTGTTCTGATGATAATAATAATAATAATGAAATGCACTGCAAGTACAGTATTGAATTGAATATTGTATAGTATTGAATATCAGTATATTCAGCCGTTGCATACTATAAAAATGCTATGAGAGTATTAATTTTGCCTCAGCATCACGTGTTCGTGTTGGGTCCAGCCTGAGGACTCTCTCCACATCACAGACAATGTTGTCTCTTGCCAGGCAAAGAAGAAAAACTTCTGGTGTGCTAGATCCAGCCTTGACAACAATCCACACCTTGCTCTTCCTCCTCATCCACCACCTCTCACAAATACTCTTCCTCCTCTCCCTCTCATATCGTTTCCATCTATTGTTGGTGCCATTTGTGCTGGCTTATATTTTGTACAGTTGGTTTGATCACATCATTAGAAACAAGTGTGCTGTATAGTTGTGTTTAACTTTTGCTACTTGTGCTTACCTTTTTGCTATACAAGAGCATCACAGTGCAAAATGTGCTTTAGTGAGTGAGAATGAGTTAGAGTTTTACAAAAATGTGCATGAGATTTGCAAATGTTGTCTAACAGCCTGAACTTGTTTAAGGTTTTGCAGAAAGAGTGATTTATTCAACAAATGGGTTTAGGCCTTTGAGAATTTGGTTCAGAGTATGGGGTTTAGTGTCTTAGCAATTGTGTTAACTGTAATTGTTTGAATTTATCTCAGAACAGATCATCCAGACGCATGGAGGTGAATGCAAGATGACAGTGATACTGCTGGGAAAGAACAGCAACAATAAGCGCCTTATAGGAAACATAATTCTTGACAAAGATCATTTCCAAACAGAAAAGTTCACTTGTGAGAAGATTGTGGATAGCGTTGCTGGTCAGACGATCTGTATTATCAACACTCCAGACCGTTTTCATAAACCAAACTCGTCAGATCCAGAAGCTGACAGAATGGGGGAGTTGAAGCCGTCATACACAGGTCTGCGCGTGTTCCTCCTCATACTCAAGAACAAAATGGTGTCACCAAAAGTGATGGTGATGTTTACTGAACTGAAGAAGAAGCTTGGACAGAAAATGGTTGAAAACACAATTGTGCTGGTAAACAGTGAAAAAAAGTTACCTTCAAATTCAATAGACAGACTAGAAACCTTCAAAAAATACTACTCCCAAGACAACTCCATAATCCTGAATGAGTGTGGAAACAGATTGTGTGTTTACAACAGAGACACGAAGAGTGATGAACTAATCAAAGAACTGCTAAAACACACAGAAGGCATGCAGACGAACCAAACATCTGATTCTGTCAGAGAAATGTAGGTAATACATAGTTATAATGAGCAGCAATAATTTAATTAATTTCTATAACCCAATATCAATCACTCTTTCAATTCCAGAAGGCCACACGACAATATGAAGACAAAGCAAGCAACACCAGACAAAGCAGGTACCAAAACGTTTGAGTTCAACCTATGAATTAGAAAATATCACCTGCACTGCACACTAGTAGATACTACTTTGGTATCTATGCACTGGCTGTGTTTTCTAACTAATTCTATACATCATCAGTTAAGGTGCATCAACCGAAACCAATGACCATTGTGCTACTGGGACAGACAGGAAGTGGGAAGAGTGCGACAGGAAATACAATTCTGAAAAAGCAACATTTTGAATCACGTGCCAGTTCTATGCCAGTAACAAAAGAATGCCAGATGGCAGAGGAAGCTGTCCTTGATGTGCAGATTAGGGTCATAGACACCCCAGATTTCTTCAGTGAAGACCTTAAAAACCAGGAAGAGCAGATAAAGAAGTGCAAAGAGCTCACGCAGCCAGGGCCTGACATATATTTGCTGGTTATGCAGCTTGGCCGTTTCACAGATGGCGAGAGAGAAGTTCTCCCACGTCTGAAGAAAGAGTTTGGCGAGGATGTGATTTCAAAGATTGTGATTCTTTTCACTGGTAAAGAGAAGCTGAAGAACAGGACTTTAAGTGATTACATATATGGAAGTGACAAAGAACTTCAGGAACTGATCAAAATCTGTCATTCAAGATGTCATGCATTTAACAACAATGACAAAAGCCATCATCAGGTGAAAAAACTGCTGGAGATCATTTCTGACATGCAGGGAATTATGGCCATGGCAAATCATCACATTTATAAAAAGAAGCATAAGGAGAACAAAGACTGCAATATCTTATAAGATATTGAACTGTGTGTATGTGCGCAGCTAAACTGTCCCTAAGTAAACTGAATCTCACAAAACTTTACTGTGTGGGGACACTCTCAAAACATGATTTTTGATTTTCTACGAATGTAAAGATTTTATTTGGGTTAGTCTGAACAGTTGTTAAAATTGTGTAGGCTTTAATGTTAAGGTTTGTTAGTATTTATGCTTCCAATCAATGTTTGTCTAATTAAAATTGCTAAATGCAATTCCTTTAGCCTAGCTGTATTTCCTAAACCGCTAATTCTTTGAAATATTGAAGTATCAAAATAAAAATAACATTAAACCCTGCATATGAGTCCATAGTTTCATCATGTATTTATATATAACAACACCACATATGCAATGACTCTTTTGGTAATCTTCACAAGATGTCTTCAAAGTGCAAATATCCAAGCTAGAGGCCCTGCAACCAGATTACTACCAATTAAAATGCCCAAATTTAAATGAAACAGCTCTAGTCTTTCATATCAAACATGTTTGATATTATCGCAAGTCCTAGCGTAGTCCTACTGACGTAAAACAATCAACAACCAATAAAATCGTTCTCAGAAAACCGGAAACAGGAAGCCATCAGTCACAACAAAGAAACATGTCGACGGACGTGGAAACACAACGAGCGCCAAGTAGGCGAAAATGTACCGTGGATAAAGAGGAGCGCCTTGTCGAGCTTGTCATCCCATTAAATAGTCAACTCTTTATTAAGAAATGTTCACATAACAACGTCTATGGAAAAGAAAGTTCACTGGAAAAGAAAGTGATTTATTGTAATTAAACAATATAAATTAACATTTTTTTACTCATCAAACCAAAAAAATATGCATAAAAATGCCTATTTTAATGGAGGAAAAAATTAGGACCCCTAATAACTAGTGATACCCCCCTTTGTTGAAATTAATTCAGTGAGATAAAATGGTGGAATGGCTGATGTCAAAGTCCTTTGAAATATGCATCTTTTTAAATCCTTTTCCACACTCATAAGCAGTGTGGGGGAAATATATGGGGGGGGGGGGGGGGGGGTGTCCTAATTTATTCCTCCTCAAAAATTGCATTCTTTTAAAATTACATTTCACAGAGAGTCTTAAAAAGACCTTCCTTATTTTTAAATAGTTTAGTTAAATCACTGGGTCCTTCAGTATTGTTAAAATTGTTATTATGTCCGTATGTTGAAAAATAGACAGGCTTTCATGGTGTCCTATTTTTTTCACATGACTGTATGGTTGCCTTTATATAATTTAATAATAATGATAATTTATTATTATTTTTATTATTATTTAATGATGATAATCACATAATTTGGACAGTGACTCCCACCCCCTGCAGAACACCATCACTGCACTGAGCAGCCATCACTACACTGTTTATTTGTTGTATACATTGTTTACATTATTATTATTATATATATTTTTTTTTTTTTGAGGTTTGTCTTTTTAAAAAAACTTTTTAAAAAAGTCTTTTTTGTGTGAAAAATGATTTAAAGGCTGAAAGTGAACATATTTACTATATGTGTCTAGGGGTGTATATCCACTGTGCTGCTGCAACACTGAGAAATTCCCCATTGTGGGAATGTCAGGTCTATCTTATCTTATATACCACCACCACTGTAGGCCTACCTTCAGACATATTTTGGATCATACAACATAATGTGATACAGTAGCTAACTGTAGCTGCTTCTCCTCCATTTTTGTTAAATCACTGCTGAGCATGATGGGTGGAATATGGTGGGAATAAAAAGCTAAAATAATCTAGTTGTAGTCCTGTAAATAGTGTCACTACAAGATTCAGTGTTTGTAAAATCTTTAGTCTGAGACTAAAAACTGTGAACCCAAAGTCTTTAGATGTGAGCTGATAATCTTATGAAGTCTTTTCTAAATCTTTTCAAAGTCTTTTGGTGTACGCTCAGCATTAAAGGGATAGCTCACCCAAAAATTAAATTTGTCATTTACTCACCCTCATGTTGGTCCAAACCTGTTTGAGTTTCTTCCTTATTTTTTTATTCTATCCATATTTTTGTGTTCAACAGAAGAAATACTCTCATACATGTTTGGACCAACTTAAGTAATGGCAACATTTTCATTTTTGGGGGGTGAACTAACTCTTTAAAGAATGATTTTTTTGAGCTGCATTCAAACATCCAGCGTCTTTTGTCTTACAAATGTAAATATTTATCTCGATTAGATATTCTTATGAGCATTCTCAAATGCTATTTCAATGATATTTACTCAACAGAAAAGAGACTATTCCCATTCTAATCAATAATTAAGACTATGAAAAGGATTGGTTTCATGATTAAGCTTGAGCAAACATATCAAACTGCGGTAAATGTTACGCTGGCTCCCTCTAGTGCCCAAACTTTCAAATTGTTCTAAACTGCAAAATCCAACAATCCATTAAGCATTTTTTTTTATAACATCTAAACAGCTTCATCTTTTAAATATCAAGCATCTTGTGACAGGAGATGAACGATCACAAATCATCATTACAAAAAGTTTTATTAATGGTTGACTGGATGAACAGTGTCCAATTAGCATATTTACAGACAATTATCTATACATAAGAATGAGCAGTTGGACAAAAACCTGAAATGGAATAAAGAGGGACCAAGTTTGAGAAAATGAGACTGAGCCAAAGTTGAGTCTGTATGCTACCATAAGCACTCTAGATTCAGCCCACAGTGCCTGGTAAAGCTAAGGACCAAACTACCATAGTTTAAGTGCACCCATATATCTGCCAATCATATAAAATGGCTTAGGTCACAGAATTGTGAATCCATTGAACTGGAAACCACAGCAGACACCGAGTAGTAAAATTCATTTTCTCAAAAAAAATTCTGATATGCAGAATGAAATCCCACAGATGACAGCCTTAAGTCTTCTACTTGGATTTAGGAGGATTCTTCATCAATCTTGGGTGCCAGGTAGTATTTGATGTGTCCCATGTCTGCAATCTTGTACTCAACCACTGCAGGAGGAAAAAGACAATCAATAATTTTAATTCAAAATGCAATGTAATGAGCATGTGACCATTTTTCCATACCTAGTGGAATGTCTGCGGACATGCTGAGTGTGACTGTCTTGGACAGAGGAGTGGCCTTGGTGAAGAAGTTCAGGTAGTTCAATGCAAAAATAAGCTGCACTGGCTCATTCATCTCAATTGTCACCTGCGAGGAACACAGTGTTGTCAATTACCCTCATAGTTAGTACAGACTTTAGTTAGTTATGTTGTCAATGTTAAAAGAATGTTACCGCTTCATCCTCCTTGTCGACACTGCTGGTCTGTGAAAGCTTAACGTTGCCTGTACCCAGCTCTCCACTGGCAGAGAACTTCACGCCATCCTTGGCGCATGAGATCATGACAGCATCGCCGATCTGCGAAAGATCCCTGCAGATTCTGGCGAATTCACCAGAGGGCATCTTCACCACACAACTGTATTCCTGCTCCTGAGGTAAAGAACAGAACAAAACATGACCATTGGAGAAAACATGCACAATCATATCAAAATTAAGCATGTTTAATAAAAAGCCTCACTGGAATGCCAAGCTGCTCCACATCCAGATCCATCAGTTTCATCTCATAGTCGGACACTTTCTCCTGATCTACAAACACATTCAGAGATCAGCACTGGCTCAGTCTAGTATAACTCAAGACTTGTTTTTATTGATAGTGAGCTATATCTAGTTTATTTTGGCTATATGTACTGGAAATTATTATTTCCGGTATCAGATTAAATGCATAACTAAAGTTAAATTTAGTCTTATGTACTTACTGAGTGTTTCAAAGACAAGTGCCAAAGAGTCTGCATTGTCTTCAGCCCTGAGCGTGATGATATCTTCATTTCCAGCACACTTCAGAATCTTTGACATGCTGGAAAACAAGAACAATTCCTTTCAAATTAATAAACAGGCACTTTTTATTTAAACATGTAGAATGACATGCTGAATAAATGTATGAAACATAAAAACGTTCTTTATATTTGTAATGTAAAACACATTACAGCCACGTTGAACCACTTTTATTTTATAAAACTGTATATTGGTAGTGTACAATTCTTTTTAAGCAAGATTTCTTTGTCTAACTGTAAAGCCATATTGTCATTCAACAACCCGGCTTTTTTTTCCCGCCAACAAGCTTGAGCGCGCGTAAGTGACGTCACGACCAGCAGTGATGGAAGAATACAGGAAACACTCTGCGCGCCAAATATTGCTACCACCGACATATTTGGAACACATTAACGGCATATTAAACACATTAAACCTATGCATTTCAAAACTAATAACTGTGAATGGGACACATTTTTGTTTTACATTTTAAAAATGGCGGGCTGCTGTTTGCTCGCGCAGTCAGGCATGAACAGACATGTTCAACTTGCACTCTCTAAGCGGTTAGACGACAAATAATGAGAAAACCACAATAATTTCCAGCATTACCTGCTCAAATTGACACCCATGGCCAGGTTTCTGTCGCAGCGGTAGGAGTCGAACCCATCGCTCCGGAGTGTGAGCTGCACCAGAGACACGTGAGAGGAGTCCATGCTCTGCAGAGAGATGCCCGAGGAGCTGACATCCCAGCAGGCTTCGGTGATGAGGTCTTTCAGAGCCTCCAGAACCTTCTTAAGGATTGATCCTTGAACGAGACGTGCCTCAAACATTGTGCGCCTTTCTTATGGGAGAAAGAAAATAGTTATCTAAATCCTGTTATGACACAAGCGCGGCCTGGTTTTCTGCTTGTCTTCAAGTGCAGGAACGCTGTACTATTAGTCTATTAAAGTGTTTTAACGGTAGCAGGTACAAATCCAAAGACTGTAAAAGAGACACTGGTTTATCTGTCCCGTCTTCTCTTCTCTCGAGGCTCTGAATGTAACTGCGCGCGCTTTTGCTGGAACTTTGATAAACTGACCCTCTCTTGCCTTCGTCATTTCCTCTGACGCTTGACTCCTCCTGGAATAAGGACCGAACTGCAGCCTTTGACCAGACCACAAGAGGGCGTCATTTCATACGCATTTGATGTGTTGCGTGAGCTCGTCCTTTTTCAAACCCGTAACTCTTGAAATTAACTGTTTTTTTTTTGTTTTTTTTGAGAATGTTTAATAACTGAAAGGAAACTGGAAGACAGCATTTAAGAAAAAAAAGCCTTCCATAAAAAATCCTACAAATAACATGAGTATAACTATAAGTATAACATGAATGTGTGGGTGCATGTGTAGGC